CTGCAGGCATTGCACAACATGGGTGCACTTACTTACATGCAGGCAATACACACATACACATAAAATAATAATTTTTTTTATCTTTTTTTTTTGAGACAGAAAAAAACATGTATTTTATGGTCTCACTTATATATGGAAGCTAAAAAGTTGTAGAAAGACTAGCAGTTACCAAAAGCTAGGAAGGGAAAAGGGAACGCTGAAAGATGGAAACAGAATGATAATCAGGTAGAGGGGATTCCATTGAAAAGGAGAAACAACTTCCAATATTTTATAGCATATAGGGCAACTATGATTGACAACTATATATTTCAGAAGAACTAGCAGAGAATTCTCAGTGTTTCCTACAAAAAGAAATGGTATGTGTTTAAGGTGATGACCCTTTTTTAATGACACAGAAATACATATATTGAAAGATCACAATGCATCCCATAAATAAGTATTATTGCATCAATTAAATATTTTAGTCAAGAGGAAAAGAAAACAATTTTCAATAAATAAAACTCCATGATCTACTGTATTCTGAATGTCCTATAGTTTTAGCTACCTAAGTCGCTTTAGTTTATCCTAACGACTATGGTCAGGAAAATAAGATTTACTTAACTCTGGTATTAAAGAGAGAACAAAACACCTTTCCATTTACTTAAAGGTTAAGGACAGTTGATAGCCACCATGCAGGTGCTGGGAGCCAAACTCCTGTCCTCTCCAAGAATAGTCAGTACTCTTAGTTAACTCTCCAGTCCCAGAACATGCACCTTTACGGTATGATGTTACTAAAATGTACTTGTACCCCAGACTTGCAAGATGGCCACACCTTAAATCCCAGCACTAAGGAGGCAGGCTTAAGCAGATCCCTGTGCGTTCAAGGCCAGCCTGGTCAACATAGTGCGTTCTAAGCCAGCTGGGTATACAGGGAAACCCTATCTCCAAAGATAATAAAATGTACTTCCAAGTTAAAAAATTCGAGAGTCAACAATAATCACTGGCATTAACTCAAAACAGTCAAGTATAATGTCCTTAAGCTCTCAAATTTACAACTAAATGAAAATATCTTACCTGTTTTCACTGTTCTTAAATGTTTCATTATTGACGATACTGTGCTGTTTGGGAGCTGAACCTGTAATTTAATAAAGAAGATGGATTGTATATTAAGCAACTTAATAGTACTTCATCTACTGGCAGAAATCATTATTCGTAAAGCACTTAGCACACTGAAGTTTTTTGGGTTTTTTTTTTTTTTTGGTGCTTTTGAGATATGGTCTCCCTGTAGTCCCAGCTGTCCTGGAACTCACTATGTAAACCAGGCTGGCCTTGAACTCACAGAGATCCGCCTGCCTCTGCCTCCCAAGTGCTGGGATTAAAGGCGTGCACGACCATGTCCGGCTCTGGTTATTTTTAATTAAAAAAAAAAAAAATCTAATAAAATCAGAACCTCCTTCTTGGAAATTACTTTTCAAGAAAAGGAAGAAAACTCATATTCTTACTAAGAAGCAGCAAAGAAATCTAGTAGAAATTAAATAAGAACATTTTGTTTAAAAAAATTATGGTTAGCCAGGCGAGGCGGCCCATGCCTGTAAGTCCCAGCACTTGGGAGGCAGAGACAGGTGGATTTCTGTGAGTTCAAGGCCTCCTTGGTCTACATAGTGAGTTCCAGGACAGCTGGGGCTACAGGGAGACCCTGTCTCAAAAAGACCAAAAAAAATTATGGTCTTTAGAATCTTGCCCATATAAATAAATTCAATAAATGCACTTTACTACCCCATGAAAGCATTTCTCCTATTTACAATATACTTACTCTTCGCCCACTATAAGAAAAAGTTAGGTGATAAGTAATGGCCTTTTTATCTCACCTTAATATTTTGTTCCAAATATACCTTTTCCTTTAGCAAAAATAATAGAATTAGAGATTTCTATATCCTCTGGTGCTTCATCTGACATAGATGAGCAAATATCCATCCAACAACAGTTCAACTAATATTAAAAATACTAAAGTTATAAAAATAACGTTTTTATACAGTATAAGAGGAAATTCTGCAGCACAGTCAAACCTTTAACAGACAAAGGCTAAATGAGATAGGAAACTGAGTACTGAGGGTTAAAAAGAAAAACCCACAATGGTAAAGCACAAGTAGTAAGTACATGGAGTCTGAGTAATAAGCTGCTACTCCCAACTTAGGCAGTTTGTTAAGGAGCACTTCTCTAGAGAGTATGTATCAAAATAGGAGATACAGGACTGAAGAAATGACTCAGTGTTAAGAGCATTGGCTGCTCTTACAGAGGTCCTGGGTTCAATTCCCACCACCCACATGGCAACTCACAACTGTCTAATGCCAGTTTCAAGGAATCTGATGCATTCTTCTGGCCTCCACAGGCATAGTATGCCTGGGCACACTTAAAATACATACAGACAAAACAGTCATATATATAAATTTCTTTTTTTTTTTTGGTCTTTTTGAGACAGGGTCTCCCTGTAGCCCTAGTGAACTCATTTTGTAGACCAGGATGACCTAGAACTCACAGAGCTCCTTCTGCCTCTGCCTCCTGAGTACTGGAATCAAAGGTGTGTGCCACCAAGCCCAGCTCATATAAATTTTTTTAAAAAATATTTTAAGTAGGAGACAAGAGGCTGGAGAGATGGCTCGCAGTTAAGAGCACTGGCTGCTCTTGGAGAGGACAGGGTTCAAATCCCAGCACCCACATTACAGCTAACAACTACACAATTCCAGTTCTAGGGGATCTGACGCTGTTTTCTGATCTCTGCAAGCATTTCATGATACAGGTTCACTTACATACATGCAGGCAATACACTCATACACATAAAATTAAAACAGTAAATCAAATATTTAAAAATAGATTTCCCGGGCATGTTAGCACATGCCTTTAATCCCAGCACTTGGGAGGCAGAGGCAGGCAGATCTCTGTGAGTTCAAGGCCAGCCTGGTCTACATAGTGAGTTCCAGGACAGCTGGGGCTATAGGGAGACCCTGTCTCGAAAAAAAAAAAGAAGGACAAAAAATAAACAAACAAATAAATTAAATAAAAATAGGAGATTTAAAAAAAAAAAACAACCAAAAACTTTGATAGGAGGGCAAAAGATAGTATTTAGAAACTGGAACAAACTAGTAAATACAAGCAATTCTCCTGAAAGAACCAGTGATAGCCATAACTCCAAGTTTATAAACCATAGCAGCAGTTAACAGGCCTAATTTACATAAAAGTTTTCTCTAACAGTAAGTAACAAATATGGCACTGAAGACTGTGAAATCCAAATAAAATTTTCCAAGTATTACCTGGAAATGTTCTCTCTCTTCCATCTATTTTTGTTTGACTGAGAAGAGTTGAAACAGCTGCAGTATTTTCTAATGGACTGTTTTCCACCTTGGATGCCAAACATAAGCTGAAATTCTGAACACATATAAATCAAGATTTTTATATTGACCTCTGGAACCTATCCTAATAAATTCAGTAAATTCTGCCTATTAAAAAAGATTTAGCGGGGCATGGTGGCACACGCCTGTAATCCCAGCACTTGGGAGGCAGAGGCAGACGAATCTTTGTGAGTTCGAGGCCAGCCTGGTCTACATAGTGAGTTCCAGGACAGCTGGGGCTACAGGAAGACCATCTCAAAAAAACTAAAAAAAAAAGTCTTTAGATAACGCTTTCTAATTGGAATAATTCTCACAGATGCCTTAAGTCTGCTCACGTCTTGCCATAACTCATTCTCTTAACACCAGTAATTATCAATTCCATGATAAATTTAAAACTTACAGCTGTCACAGTATCTTTCACGGTTGCCTGACTCTATGCCTTTTCTCAAAGTTTCAGGTCTTTTTTCAAAGCTACGTTGTTCAATATAGTAGTCACTACTACACTGATTATTGGGTACTTTGGGTACTTAAAATATAATTAGTATAATCTGAGATGTGTGGTAAGTATATATTTCAAGTCAGATTTAAAACTTTAGCACACACGCAAATACAGTGTGCTGAAATGACAGTATTTTCATATGACAGGCAAAGTAAAATACATTGAAATTAATTTTCCTTGTTACTGTCCATTAATATAACTAGATAATTTAAAATTATCTACGCGGTTCACATTAAATTTCTACAGACAGTCCTGAATAGATTATCTAGAATATCTTTTCCCCTATAAAACTTATCACTTAAAAACCAACATCTTTCATGAGAACTTCCCCAATTTTCCCCAATTACCCCCTCTACTTTGTCTCTCATGCCCTTCTCACTTCCAATTGTTTAACATCAGTAATGGTTTTTTTTTTTTTTTTTTTAATTGGTCTTTTTAAAACAGGGTCTTCCTGTAGCCCCAGCTGACCTGGAACTCACTATGTAGACCAGGCTGGCCTTGAACCCACAGAGATCTGCCTGCCTCTGCCCCACAAGTGCTGGAACTACAGGCGTGCACCACCACACCCAGCTCATTAACTTTTTAAAAAAGATTATACTGTCATTATTTTTTATTACCAACAACCTCTAATTCAGAACTTTATGAAAATAGACATTCCATTAGTAACAAGTATACTCCAGGGGCTGGAGAGATGGCTCAGGTTAAGAACACTGGCTGTTCTCAGAGCCGGGTATGGTGGTACACACCTTTAATCCCAGCACTCAGAAAGCAGAGGTAGGTAGACCTTGGTGAGTTCCAGGCCAGCCTGGTCTACATAGTGAGTTCCAGGCCAGCTGGGGCTACAGGGAGACCCTGTCTCAAAAAACCACCCCCCAACAACAACAAAAAACCTTTCTCAGATTAAGTTACTTAAATATTTAAACCTCACTTTTCTGACTTAATATATATGTAACAGAATTTACAGTGCAGATTATGATTGAAATCTATGAAAATTTTCTTTACCTACAACAGAGGCAAATCATTATTAAACAAAAACTATTATGAAGTTAAATTAAACCATGCTACCACATTCAGTGTTCAGGGAAGAATCTCTAAGTGACACTGTAACACACATTCTCTAAAGCAGAAAATATATCCTCTTCTAGAACAGTGCCTTGCATAACAGGCATTTGAGGCATGTTTTTTAAATTTTTTAAATGTTTTATGTGTATGAGTGTTTTGTTTGCATATATGTAAAGTGCACCCATGTCACACAATGCCTGTCAAGGCCAGAAGAGGGTGTCCAACTGGAACTGGAGTTACAAACAGTTGGCAGCCACCAAGAGGATGCAGGGAACCGAACCTAGGTCTTCTGCAAGAGCAGAAGTGCTCTTGACCACTGAGCCATCTCTCCAGCTCTGAAGCATGTTTTGAAATGATATGTCACTACATTTTCTAATCATTTTATGATAGTGAGCGCCCTGCTGGTATTCATGAAAAGTTACAATCTCTAAGTCCTTTATTAAAGAAACAAATTGTGATACATTCCTTTGCAATTATTAAAATACTCATGTATTGCCAGGTGTGGTGGCGCACACCTTTAATCCCAGCACTTGGGAGGCAGAGGCAGGCAGATCTGAGTTCAGGTGTACTGGGACTACAGGGAAACCCTGTCTCAAAAAGAACAAAAAATAAATAAATAAATAAATAAATAAATAACTCATGTATCAAATGTTGACTACACAGGCATAGCGTAAAATTTTACTTATAAGCCGGTTGTGGTGGCGAACGCTTTTAATCTCAGCACTCGGGAGGCAGAGGTAGGCGGATCTCTGTGAGTTCGAGGCCAACCTGGTCTACATAGTGAGTTCCAGAGCAGCTGGGGCTACAGGAAAACACTGTCTCAAAAAAAAAAAAGTTTTACATATAAAAGTTTTACATTTAAAATACTGCCATTTATATAAAAATTTAAAATACACGGCTGGAGAGATGGCTCAGTGGTTAGAGCACTGCCTGCTCTTGCAGAGAACCTGAATTCAGTTCCCAGTAGCCACATGGTGGCCAACAACCTTCTGTAACTCCAGTTCCAGGGGATCCAGTGCATTTTTCTGACCTACTTGGGCATTGTACAACATAGGTACACTTACACATATGCAGGCAATACACTCATACACATAAAACAAAAAATGAATAAAATTTTAATAAAAATAAAAATTTGAAATACAAAGCTAAGAATTCTTTCTATATATAACAGAGTTGTAAAAATAAAAACAAAAGGGATGCATCAACTTCAGAAACACGTCTAACAGAAAAGAGAAAGGCATAAAACAGAGATACTGGAAAAAACTAATACACTTTTCATACTTTAATTTTTATTTTTTTGCAGTGCTAAGGGATCAAACCCAAGACTTCACACATCCTAGGAAAATGTTCCAACACTGAGCTACATTCCCAGTCCTTTATTTTTATTTTGTGTGTTTGAGTGTTTTGCCTGCATATATGTAAGTACACCTGTGCCTACAATGTGGCAGAGGACAGAAGAGAGTGTTGGATCCCCTGGAAATGAAGTTATAGAGGGTTGTTAGCCACCATGTGGGTGCTGGGAATCGAACCCAGGTCCTCTCTGCAAGAACAGCCAGTCCTCTTAACCACTGAGTCACCTCTCCAGTCCTTGTACTCCCCTTTAAATTTTTTTTCACATACAGATAAGGTCTTGATAAATTACCCAGGTTATCCTTGAAACTATACTACTTCAAGCAGGTCTTGAACTTTCCATTCCTCATGCCTCAGCTCCCCAAAGAACTGGAATTACAAAGCTCTTATCCTAGGCCCAGTTTATTTCCTATACTTTAAATTATCTAAAATAATTCAACAAAATATTCATTTCTGTCAAATATGAGTAGTAGATATATGAAGAAAGCAATGCTCACTGCTCTAAAATATGAATGAATGTTCAAGAATTTCAAAACATACAAATTTTGGGTCCGGCTATATGGCTACATGGTAAAGGCACCTGCTGCCATCCCTGATTACCTGTTTTTGATTCCCAGGACCCACATGATAGAGGGAGAGACTCAGCTCCCATTAGTTATTTTCTTACCTCGATATATGTTACGTACATGCGCACACATAAATGCATGCACATGCAATAATTTAAAATATATATATGTAGGGCTGGAGAGATGGCTCAGGAGTTAAGAACACTGACTGTTCTTGCAGAAGACCCAGGTTCAAATCCCAGCACCCACATGGCAGCTAACAACTGTCTGTAGCTCCAGTTCCAGGGGATCCAACAGTCTCTTCTGTCCTCCGCGGGCATTGCACGACACAGGTGCACTTACCTACATGCAGGCAATACACACATACAAATATAATAAAAAATATTTTAAATATATATATATATATATGGGGGGGCGGTGCTGGGCATGGTGGTACACATCTTTAATACCAGCACTTGAGAGGCTAAGCCAGTCTGATCTACATAGCAAGTTTCAGGCCACCTAAGGCTACATACCCATAAGTTTTGACACAGCAATAAATTTTTAGGGCTGTTTCTTACAAATAAAAGAACTGTGGCCGGGCATGGTGGCAGACGCCTTTAATCCTAGCACTCGGGAGGCGGAGGCAGGCAAATCTCTGTGAGTTCAAGGCCAGCCTGGTCTCCGTAGCAAATCCAGGCCAACTGTGGCTACAGGGAGGCCCTGTCTCAAAAAGATCTGCCCCCCCTCCAAAAAAAACTACATAAACCCAAGCACTTTTCACTAAAAGCGGTGATAGAAACATTTCTGTTCTACTGCAATTTAGCCCAAAGGAATGGATTTCTTACCTTTCTCATTATTTGCCTGCCTTTTGAGTTTTGAAGAGCATCTATGTAGTAAAGGACACACTCAATGGTTACACCTAGAGACATAATCCTAACTAAAAAGCCATACTTTCTCTCCAAAAGCCACAAATTTTCCCTTTGGTTCTTCAATATGCCCAACACAGTGTACAAGCTAGGCAAGCACTCTACCACTGAGCTACAATCACAGCCCCACAATTCATTCATAGTACTATTGACTACTTATTTCTAATGACTACAATTACTATTTGGTAAAATACTTTGAATAAGCATCTTTTATTGATGCTTTCACTTCTATTCACACAGAAAATTCAATCTAAGACATCACCAACTGGTGGTCTGTTCTCTTTAGATTCACTTTCATTTCCAACCCAGAAGCCTGACTCAACTCGGGACAGCTTCTTGCACAAATCCATCTCAAATCTGCTCCAAGACCAAATGACTTTAAAAAAAATTTTAGACATTCTGAAAATTTTAGAGTGACTTGACTTTGTTAACAATGACCTTTTTGTGCAAATTATTAATGTTAAGGGTACGTTGTACAGAGAATTCTGTGCTGAGAATTAGAATACTTGAATTCTATCTGGTCCTAAATGCTACCACATGTAACTTACACTCTGCTCTCAGTTGTCTCATAAAATTAAATAATTAATATAAATTCATTATTTTTTCCACTTTTCCAGAGTCCTATATATACAAGGTCTGTTCACTGGGACTCCACATATGATTCACTTTAGAAAGAAAATGTCTCAGCCAGCCACTTTTTACAAAGTTTAAAAGTACTTTCCTGCCTTTAGTCCCAGCACTCGGGAGGCAGAGGCAGGCGGATCTCTGTGAGTTCAAGGCCACCCTGGTCTACATAGTGAATTCCAGAACAGCTGGGGCTACAGGGAGACCCTGTGTCAAAAAAACCAAAAAAAAAAAAAAAAAAGTACTTTCCCAAGGCAATCATTAGTATCTTCCAGATATAAAGCTCTGGTTTTCAATAATTCTTGAGTCGGGGGATGTGGCTTAGTGGAGTGAGGACTGCCACACCTACAACAGACTCCCTCAGTTTAATCCCCAGTACCACTAAAAATAAAAAATTCTTAGACTGATTTATACTCTGATATTTCATTTGACAACTGTTCAAAATGGCCAAAGCTACTGTTTATAAGTATTTAACTTATAAATTTCTTCAGATAATAAAGAAGTTGGGTTTTTTGTGGGGGAGGAGGGTGCCACATGCTAGGTAAGCCCTCTACCAGTGAGTTATATCCCCAGTCCATAATTTTTTTTAAATATTATTTTTATTTTATATTATGTGTATGAGTGTTATGCCTGCTTGTAGGTAAGTGCACCCGTGTCGTGCAAAGCCCGCGGAGGACAGAGAGGCTGTCAGATCCCCTGGAACTGGAGTTATGGACAGTTGTCAGCTGCCATGTGGGTGCTGGGATTTGAACCCGGGTCTTCTGCAAGAGCAGTCAGTGTTCTTAACCGCTGAGCCATCTCTCCAGCCCCTACCCCAGTCCAAAATCTTCTTCTTTTTTTTAATTATTTTTATTTTATGTGTGTGTGTATTGCCTGGATGTAGGTAAGTGCACTCGTGTCATGCAATGCCCGCGGAGGTCAGAAGAGGCTGTTGGATCCCCTGGGACTGGAGTTACAGACAGTTGTTAGCTGCCATGTGGGTGCTGGGATTCAAACCCGGATCTTCTGCAAGAACAACCAGTGTTCTTAACTGCTGAGCCATCTCTCCAGCCCCCCAGTCCATAATTTTAACAATCAGAATTAGGCACAAGTTTTAAGCTCTAGACTTTAATCACTAAGGAATGTGTTTTCTGTTGCTACAACTAGTAGAAATTTAAGAGCTACAATTTCACTAGGTTATGCTTTCCATAAAATAAAAATGGAGGAAGAAAAACAGGAAACGTGAGAAGCACGCATAAAGGTAAAATATCTAAAGGAGACACTCCAAGACTGGATTATGAATTCTTGAAATATGTTGCAAACCCTTATTATTTAGTATAACGTACTCAGGCACCTCTACTGCACATAATAAAAATGATTACCTTATCTGGTGCTGATTCAAAAGAATGTTTCATCTGATTATCCACTGGTGGGTCAGGAGAGGGTTTTATGTGATTATCCAAATGACAATTTTCAGGAGCCCTTTTTGTGGTTTTATTAATTTCAACTGCAATATCATTAATTTTAACTTCTTCAGATTTAATTCCTTTCATTTTATCCTGTTGGCAAGTTATACTATCCTGTGGTTTTGTCTCTAAAACCATACTTTGAGACACTGGATGAGGCATTTCTAAAACTGGTGGTGAAAAACCAGTTCGTACTGAGCCCAATTTAGGAGAAACTTGAGAGTCCGATTTATTTTGCTGCACAGAGTTAAATTTTGAGAGTTTAATTTTAGTCCAGTTGGAGTTCTTCTTGGCTGAGCTATTTATTCCATTTAGTATACATTTCACAGGCTTTGTTTTTCTACTGGGAAAGAAACGATTACACCGTACATCCTGATTGGTTTCCTTCTGATGAAGTATTTGTCTTTCAACATCAGTCTCTTCCAATTTTATTTCTGTAGGCTTCTCTTTCACACTTTCCATTTGTGAGGATTCCTTTTTTACCTCTACAGTATCTGACTCAATTTCACCAGCAATTTCTTCGCAAAGCTGGAGAATGCTACCTCGTTTGCTCTTTCCTGCTTGCTCCAATTCATTATCTACATTTTGTTCAGGCACTGATGGCTGTGGAATTTTTTGGAATTTTGTGCTAGTATTCACTTGTGTATGAACTGACTTCTTCAGTTCACTCTTTTTAGAGACCACTGAAGTAGCCACTTTTGATCTTTTAATCTCAGAAGTTTCAGGCACATGTTTTGTTTCTTCTTTTTTAATAGTCTTCTGAAGACACTTTTCAGATCCTTGAATGCAATGAGGACTCCAAGTACAAGCTGTCTGGTGCTCTACTTTCCGTTTCTTTCCTTTAGGAGAACTTGCTACTTCATTAGTTACTGAGTTTCTATCTTCCTTATAATCAGACTTTATTTCCAGTACTTTCCTTTTCACATGTTTTTGATTTACTTTAACTTTATTGGATTTACTTTGAGTACTGTTATAGTGTTCTCTTCTTGTTGGCTGCAAATTCTGTTTAATTGCTTGAACTTGACCCTGAATCTCTCTACTTCGCAAAGATCTTGTTGAACACTCTGTTAACTGTTGTAGCCTTTGTGATCTCCGATTAACCTGCTCATTTCTTTTAGGGGTTTCATGTGCTAATTTTTTCTGACATAATTTCTTTTTTGCAGACTCTTGTGAATGTCCCTTCACAGTTACCACATTTTTACTAATGTTTTCGGTAGCTTTTTTATCAGCTGCCTTTGCTGACCTAGTGCTCATTCGTGTTTCCAATTCAGGCTGATTTACTTTACTTTTGCTGGAAGATTTAAGCAGTGACTTTATAGCTTCTTTGGAACCTGATTTTTTCACTAGACTGTTTTGGGAACCTTGAATTTCTCTTTCTAAATTCTTATCGTCACTTTCTTTAGTAATTTTGGAGGAGTTTTCTTTTGATTTCTCCTGAATGGACATTATTCCTGAGTAATGTCTGTCTTCCTTTTCTGAGTTTTTGAGGACTGTGTCCAGGTAGGTGCAAGTGCTAAATTATCTAGTATTACTAAGGAGCAGATCTTAAAACTCAACTTTAACTTATGTTGATAAACATTTTCAACAAAAATACCAGGCTGCTTCAAGTAAGGTTGCACTCTGCAATTCCTAAGACATAAGAAAAACTGGCATGAATGCTGAAAGATGTTTGCCTTACACTGGACAGGGGACTAGAAAGCTGAAGAAAATTTAATTCTAATTTGATATTTTTTAGAAGTTTTTATTTTTTTAATGAAAATAAACTTCATTCACATTCACTCTGTTTTGTTAATTTTTTAATTACTTTTAGTTTCAGGCCTAGCCCTATTACTGGAGGAGTTATTTATCACTGACCTGTCTGTTTTGACAAAATTTCTGAAAATGTTTTTCTTCTCAAGTCTACCGTTACTGGACTGTGATGCATCTGAAACATGTCTTATGGCTACCAGGTTTCTTTGCTTCTTTGCTGAGCTTGTTGGTTTGTGGTTTTTATTTAATCTCCTTCGTTTAATAAAGTACTCTATTAATATAGATTTCCTTTTGTGCTGCTGTTTCTGAAAAGTCAAAAAAAAATTACATTTTGTACAATCCATGAAATACATCAACACTAATACTATGCAGAAAAATACCTCAACTTAAATAAAATTAGCTCCTCTTTTTAGACTATACACTTAACACAATGAAGATTTTTTATTTACTTATTTTATGTGTATGAGTGTTTTGCCTGCCTGTATGTAAGTGCACCCATATTGTGCAACACCCTTGGAGGTCAGAAGGCAATAGATCCCCTAACCATATGTGGGTGTTGGGCACAAAGCTTCAGTTCTCTTCAAGAGCAGCAAGTACTCTTAACTGGGCCATCTCTCCAGCCCCCCAAATACATTCTTAAATATCAACATGTCTTATAAAAACAGAGTAGTTAAAAATTAATTTATCTCCCCCCCAACTCTGAGTTCAGTGCCAGCCTGATCTACATAGTAAGTTCCAGGCCAGCTGGGGCTACAGGGAGACACTGTCTCAAAAAGACCAAAAAAAATTTTTTTTAATTATTAAATTTATTTAAATTAAATTATCCCTTGAGATTTACTTACAGTTCTCTTCCCCCAAGATAGAATTGATGTTTCAGCCACCATAACTCATGAAAATCTGGTAAAACCATTCCTTATAGGCTGTTCAACACATTACATAGCACCTAAACAAAAAAAATAGATTTAAATTCTTTAAAAAGAGAAAGATAATCATCCATTGACCTTTCATCAATCAAATATAATATTCTATAGTTCTACCCTGGTAAACTATTATTCTAATTTTTATCAGTGTCAGGCCACAAGCAGCTTGTAACTCCAGCACTGCACTAACATGCACAAACATACATACACAATTAAGAAACAAGAAAAATTTTAAGAAGAAAAAGGGGGGCTGGAGGGATGGCTCAGTGGTTCAAAGCACTGGCTGCTCTTGCGGAGGACCTGGGTTCAGTTCCTAGCACCCACATGGTAGCTAACAACCATCCCTAACTCGAGTTCCAAGAGATCCAATGCCCTCTTCTGAACTCTGTGAGCACTGCACAACATGGTGTACTTACATAAATGCAGGCAATACATTCATACACATAAAAATAAAATTTAAAAATTATAAAAAATAAAAATAATAAATTATAAAAATTAGAGGAATAAGTACTGAAAAAATCTCAGGAACTCAAGAAAATATCCTAAAACTGAACATGAGTTTTCAGAATAAAACAACCAAGAATATCCTTATGCATACCATTAAGAATATACAGACAACCCTCAAACTTCTAGGGGCAACTCCCCCAACACCACATGATTAAGAATTAAAATTACAGGCCAGCGTGGTGGCGCACACCTTTAATCCCAGCACTCGGGAGGCAGAGGTAGGCGGATCTCTGTGAGTTCAAGGCCAGCCTGGTCTACATAGCTAGTTCCAGGTCAGCTGGGGCTACAGGGAGACCCTGTCTCAAAAAGACCAAAAAAAAAAAATTAGAATTACAATAAATTTCTCATGCCAGGCATGGTGGCTCAGGTCTTCAATCCCAGCATTCAAGAGGCAGAGGCAGGCAGATCTCAGATCCAGGCCAGCCTGGTCTACACAGCAAGTTCCAGACCAGCTGGGGCTACAGTAAGACCCCCATCTCAAAACAAACATCCAAGTTCAGGTCACAGCACACAGATCAGGCAGCTAACAACCAACTGTAACTCCAGGAGGGATCTAACACCTATGGCCTCTGTAGGCACCTGTACTCCCCTGCATACATATATGCACACAAAAACACCTAAAAATAATAAATCCTTAAAAAGTGTGTACCCAGAGAGAGACCTGTTTCAAAGAACATGGAGAGCAATAGAGGATGCCTATCTCTAGTCTCTGCATAACCACATGTACACACACGCATATACACACAAACACAAACTGTACTTCCCACACATTTTTCTCCAAGAGCTACTATAGTGTTAAAAGAAATGATAATTGTGTTCAAAGAAATCAAAGTCTTTGAAGAAAAGTTAAATGAGAAAAACCATATACATCTTTACTGAAGCTCCTATGAATAAATCCTAATATGATTTAAAAGAGTCTACAAACCTCGATCAAGTACATTATCATGCTGTGTGGAATAGCATAGAGATTTTCAGCTCAACATGGTGATACACATCTATCATCTCAGGACTTGGGAAGTAGAGAAAAGAAGATTTTGAGTTTGAGGCCAGCACAGCAAGACCTGTCTCAAAATAAACTGAGGACTGGGGATGTAACTCAGAGACAGAGCAGTTATATGCACAAAACCCTGGTTTCCATTCCCAGCATGGGGTAGGGGACCTCAACTATACTGAAACATATGGAAATGAGCTGAAATGTAGAACTGAAAGTATACATATCACCACTTACACTAATATACCTGTACATAAGTATGCAAGTATGCATGCACACACAAATCAACTTTTTATTTTTATTTTTTTAATATTTATTATTTTTATTTTATGTGTATGAGTGCATTGCCTGCATGTATGTGAGTGCACCTGTGTTGTGCAATGCCATGAAG